TATATATATAATTTTTTCTTGTCGTTATGCCCTAAATAACTATTTACATTGAATTTATATCATATTAGGCGTTATAAGTAATCTAGGGCCAATTTACAGTAGAGAAGATGTACATAAGTTACATGCAACTAGTACACCATTGTGTGTAGCACTTTAGCATCTGAGGATTTGTTATCTGCAGAGTTCTGCAACCAGTATCCTAGGGACTCTAGGGTACCAGGACTGAACCATCCTTCTGTAAATCTCTGAGCTGTGTGCTGAGAGATAAAGATGAAAACAACATAATTTACAATCTCAAGTAACTTAAAATTCCAACAGAAAATAAGGTACTTTTATATACAAATAATGTAAAAGCAGATTGTAATAGATACTTTGTCTGGAATGTTAACATATTCTGCAAATGTAATAGTAGGACTGAATTGAAGGTTCTGCGTGATGAATGTTAAAAGTGGGATGAGCTTTGTATTGGAAATTCTGTACAAGCAGTTTAAAATGTATATTTAGAACTAAAGACAGGCAGGCACAGCAGATTTTGAAACTAAGAGAATGCAAGAATGGAGAAAAGTTGTGACTGAAAAGGAGTGTTAAGGTGTTATGAAATTATGCTGAGAAATAAGGAAAATGTGTTGAAAGGGCAAATAGAGAAGGTGGGACATGGTTCACTGTGCCTTCCATTAGAGTTAAGTTGTCCACGCTCTGTATTGCCTTGCCTTGGCCTCTAAGGAAAAAGGCTCTAATTGGTACAAGTAATCCCAAGAACTTCGCTGCTCTCTTCCTGTGTACTCAGGAGACCTCATTTGTGTAATTATGTGTATTTGTGTGACACCTTAACATTCTGTAAATGCTTTTGCCTTGACTTTCTTGTTTGGCTACCATAGTAATCTGTATGGGTCATAGAGGTGTTAGGTTCCTCTGTTAGGAGTAAGCAAAAAATAAAAAATGAAGTTTTTAACCAAGTGCATGAAGTCAACTGGTGACTATATATGAACTAGGGTGTTCTGACACCAGATAAAATTCTGTGATCCTAAAACCTTGTATCAGTGGCATTCAATTAATTCTTAGGGGAACTGTTGTGAGAATCTGAATTTTTGAGATTGTCAGTTGATCTATCATTACACCAATTTGATTATTTCATATGTACTATGAAGAAATGTAAGCAAATCTACAAACTGAGTCATCACATTTATTACATTGATATGTCCCTATAAAGAATTGTTTTTATAAACCGTGTGTAGATTTTAGTAATGATACTTTATTCTGTACCTATTAATTGATGAAAATTATGATTATAGGATACATAAAGATTTAGTTTTAAAATGCCTACTATTGACATTATTCTTCTGATGATAGAAGGTTACAGACTGATTCATGTAGCAGCATGTTGAAATGTCATCTATTAGGATGTATTTCACTAGTGACTCAGTGCTCAGGATGTTATTGGAGACTGGTCACATCAGTACCTTCTCCATGTTTCAAAAGTTGAGATTCCCAGAAGGAAAGTAGTTCAGCATAGCCATACCGTTTGAACAGATAGTGTGGATATACACTATCAGTTGTAGGAGTATGGTAAGAATCTTCCTGAAATCCAAATTCTCCGGTTCCAGTCAAGAACAGCTTTATAATCAGAGCTTTCTAAATATTTCGATTTGAATCTTCTTTTATTAACTCGTTTCTATACACTTGGCTTTTTTAATTATGTAATTCATCAAATGTTTATTGAGTTCTTATTATATGCAAAGCAGTATGTTAGGCAAGGAGCATGTAGTCATCTATACCACATTCTGAGGAAGCTTGACAGATAGATGGGAAATATTAAGTACTGAAATTTAAGGAATAAATTTAAGGTATATATTCTTAAGGGAATATAGTAGTTTATTATGGCTTTTGTGACCAGTTATCACAAATCTCTTTTATTCCAGGAGACACTGTGGCAGGAATGAGGTAAAGATAGACAGGAAGACAAGAGCTGGGTCAGGTAGTGGCATGTCTACCTGGTTGGTAAGATAATCTCTAGCATCACAGTAGGGGCGTTTATTTATACTTTTGCCAAGTTAGTAACATGTGACACAGGTTGCCTAGTGACTAATAGCTGACATTAACCAGTCCGGATGCTTACCTCAGGACTGAGGTAGCTTGACTTCTTTAGGCACTGAGGCCTACCCCTGCCTTCACAAATTTGACCAACTTCCAGCTTCTATGGCTCCCAACATATATATCCCCCCTTTTTTTTTGTGTGTGTGTGTGTGTGTGTGTGTGTGTGTGTGTGTGAGTGATGGGTGTTTCATTGCAATTGGAGAAGCTGTGTTTGGAGAACTCTTTAGAAGACCTTTATATTCTTGATGCCAGTCTAAAGATTTTTGGTACTTGAATTTAGCAATGTAACCGTTTATAGTCCAGTAGTCTATAATAGTAGTGAGTTGTCAGTGCAGCAGGTAATTGTCAGAAGTTATTGATTTAAACCTTTTACAGCTTAGCATGTTGTTAAGATATTATTTTTTACATCTTGTGGTTTTATTTCTCTGCTGGGTGGTTAAGACCAAGTTAAAGCAAGACCTGTATAAATACAAATTTAACTTTTTTTAATCTGATAAGGTCAGTTAAATTTCCTCAGGAATTACCTTGGAACCATGTGCAGAACCTCTTAGATCTGTTAGTGACAGCCATCTGGATGAGTCACAGCCATTGCTTGACCAATATGCTTTTTGTGAAGCTTAAGAAATATTTTCTCTTCGGGTGACTTTCCTTAGAAACACTATATATTGTCAATTACTTTCCTCAGTGACCCCATAATCTCCTTGATCAGAAAATTAGGGACTCAGTGAGTTATAAGATGTCATAGCAGAGCTTCTTTTAGATCCTGAGTCCTCATTGACCTGGAAGGATGAGGGCCAAAATATTGGCTATCCTCTTAGCCCATCTATCTCTCTAGTTTTTGGTCTCCAGGTTTATGTCAAAACCTTTGACATAAAATGGAACTGCTATTTTCTAACAGCCGTGGATATTCTAATATTTAAATCCCTATGTAATGTTAAAAGACAAAAATTACATATTTTTACACAGAAATTTAGAAACCAAAGCCATACACAGCATTGTAGCAAGACATTCCTGGTAACATTTTGTGACATGCCTACATTTTCATTTTGACATAACACTTTTAATCAATGATTTCTGTCTAATGCATAAGAAATTTTTGGGCCAGCCTATAGCTCAGCAGACTAAAGCACCTGCTTAGGCAGAGCGCAGTGGCTGGGGTTTGATCCCATGTGTGCCATGCTGGCCTCACCTGTGGGGCAGGCTGAGATGGCAATTGAGACTGGGTGTGGTGGCAGGCACCTGTAATTCCAGCACATGGGAGGCTGAAAAACAGGAGAATCACTGCAAGTCTGATCTATGTAATGAGACCCTGTAGTCCTGTACTAAATACAGAAAAGAAAATATAAAATAAAATAAATTTTCACCTAGTCATCCTTAAATGGGATATGCATCACAGGTCTTTGGTTAAGGGCAGAGGTTTGAATCTGAGAGAAAGTCTTGTCACAATAGGCAATCTTTGTTTTACATTTTGAAAGAGCTGTATACCTGAAATCGTGAATACACTTAAAACACCATGAGATTAACAATAATGAATTACCATAACATGTGAAAACTTTTTTAAATTTGGTTTCATACCAAAAGCATCTTTTACGGCCTGGGGAGATGGCTCAGTAGAATAAGTGCTTCTGTGGCAAGCACAAAGGCCTGAGTTCAATCCCCAGTTCTGAAAAGCATCTTTTTTTTAAAAAAAAATTTTATTTATGTGTGTGTGTGTGTGTGTGTGTGTGTGTGGCCAGCTCAGCCCACCAGGGGGCGGGGCTGGCTGGCATGTGGTGCTGGGGGATTGAACCGTGGTCCCTGTGCTTTGCTAAGCTTGTTCTAAGTAGGTGCTTTAGACCACTGAGCCATCTCACCAGCCCTGAAAAGCATCTTTTAAGAGAAAAACTTTACTGTAATTTTTTCTGAAGAACTTTCTTTTTTAACCAATGACCAAGGTATTTTTTCCATTATTTTAGTGACAGATAAATAGCAATGAGACACTTTCAAATCAAATTGGTAGGACAGTTTCAATAATTAACACATTGCATACTGTCTTCCTAGTGATTATTTGCTGTAGAAGATGCAGACATGAAATCCTGTTTACAAATAATAGTACAACAAACCCCTCTATTCATTAAGAGAATGTAACTATATATCTATCCTAACCATTTTGAATACACAGATACAAAATGGACATTCATCTGTATCCCCTTTTTTGTTTAGTTCCATCATTTGAATATTATAGGTGTGTTAACTCAGCAAAATATTCCAAAAGAGTCCAATAGTCCATAATAGTATTGGGTCTTCCGCTTGACTGGCAATGTCAGAAATGGTTGACCTGAGTCCCCTACAGCTCAACGTAACACCATGGCTTTACTTCTTATATTTCATTTTTATACTTTTCTGCTGGATGGTTAAGACCAAGATAAAACCAGACCTATGCAACAAGAGTTGTAGCTTTTGGGTCTGATAAGATTAGTGAAATCCCCTCAGGATAAATCCTGAGATCCTGTACCTCAGAATATAGATCCTTTGTCATTGTCAGCCATGTGGAT